CCGCACAGATCCGTCTATTGACCTCATCCGTCCCTCACTCGTAACACCCAGAGATACTTGAACTCCCCCACTTGACATGAGGAGCTGAAGAGGGGAGTCCACCTTTCTCCGGAGAAGAACCACGGCCTCGCATATGGAGGTGCTGATCCTCATCATTTCCCTAAATGATGATTCTACTATGATTCATTTTTTTAAACGCTGAATCCACAACAGACAAGTTAGAGATCAGTGCAGATGAATATTTCTACCTCTTAAGAATAAAATGAGTCCAGAAAACCTGCTTGGCTGTTTCTACCTGCAGGGTTCCTCCGTCACAGAGCAACCAAGATGTTCTATAACAATTATAATAAATCTGCTTTTATGAAAGATTTTATTTTTTTTTGCATTTAATCTTTATGAAGGAAAAGAAAATTGGTTATTAAAATAAATTCGGTTTTACTTATGAGAGTAAAACTGAGTTTTTAAATATGTCTTGCATCCATTGATGCTGATGTAAAATCTATACTTGCCTCTAAAAAGGATTTCTCACTTTTTTTTTTTTTTTCTCCATCAGGTCCTGTCCAGAGTGTCGAATCACATCCAACTTTGTCATCCCCAGCGAGTACTGGGTGGAGGATAAGGAGGACAAGCAGAAACTCATCCAGAAATACAAGGATGGCATGGGGTATACAGCCTGCTTCCTGATGCTTGAAATAACATCAACTTTAACATTGTCTAAAAGTCCTGCAGAACAGTTTAAAAACATGAAAAGTATCATTCATGCAAGATTTAGGTGCAGGAAGAAACAAATTAAATCAAAGTTTTTGAATAAATAGAAAAAGGCTTTTCCATTTAAACCTTTCCCATATATTAAAGCACCTTTTGCTCCCAAATGCCTGTTATTTGGCTTTGGAAATGGTCTGTTATGTTTGTAGTTCCTGAAGTATGCTGGGTTATTTATCCTCAGCTTATCAGGACTGGGCTTAACAGACTCCCAGACAGGAAGGCGGGGCTGAACTCAGCTGCAAGACTAAGGCTACGTTCACACTGCAGGCCTCAATTCACATTTTTGTGTGAAATCTGATTTTATATATATATATATATAAAATATTTTGAAAGGGACAGTGTACATTAATAAACGTTCCTGTAAATGCAGCAGAATTAGCCAAAACGCTATTTTTCAAAGCCATTTTAAGATCCTGGAAAGATCGTAAAAATGTCTAAACCTAAAAACACAACAGTAAAAATTTAACAGTGAAAATCTGAATATAAAAACAGCTAGAACTCTTCAAAACTTCTTTAAAAATACAGAATTAATGTTGTGTAGACTTCAGATTTTAGGTAAATAAAATAGAATAAAACCTGAAATTAAGCTGCTTTTTGAAAGGAGTCAATGTTTTGAGTTCTCTGATTTCCAGAGTTCCACTCTGTCCCTTCTATGGTTAAAAATGGTTAAACATTCATTCAGTAAACATGGATGGTAGCGCTGGAGCCCATCTAGCAATCTTTCCCAACTTTAACAACTCAATCTTTTCAAGATGGTTAAACATAAACCTGCTCTCTGCATCATCGTCCACCATGATTGTTTTTCTTCCTCCTTCTGCGTAGCAAGGCGTAGAATAGTGGTTTTTGTCGGGTATTAATGGCGTTCAGGTCGGATGAATGCGACCTTTGGGTTATGCGACCTGAACGCTGCGACAGGTTGCATCTGAAGCGATCAGATTCGTATCATATTCAGAACCACAGAGCCAAGTGGGCTGGGTCGCATTGGAAAACATCTGATCTGTGTTGTTCAGACTGTCATGAAAAGATCAGACCCATCTGGGCAAATGAATTGGATTTGGGTGACTTCAGGCTGCTGTGTGAACGCAGCCACAGTCCCTCCAGCCTGTCCTGGGCTTTCTCCCAGTGGAACGAGCTCCTCCCACAGGAGGCATCTAAAGAAGATATCTG